TGAACGCGATGGTTATCCACAGCGCTTGTACGAAGATTGTGCGGCGTCTTTACCGCGCTTATACTGCGTGTGCACGGCACTTTTACGAAACTTTACGATTTCAGCCACAAAGGCGCACTTGAAGCGCAAAGACCGCTGTAGAAGCGCAGTCCGAACGTAGACAATCGCCAATTAAAACGCCATGGAAGCTCCGTAGCATCGCCATGATATAGCCGCGAGGACGCCGTGAAGACGCCGTGAACTCTTCATGTCATAAAAAATGTCATATTTTTAATGCGATCTCGCGGCGCTTTGTTAAATTTAACAACGCCTTGCAAACGCAGTGAAAGTGCAGGTCTAGTGTGACTTAACCACAAATCAAAAGTTCTTTACAGAAATTACGTTTTTATTCAAATTAAGGTGCAACATTTGAAAATATTTAACTTTTTATAGGTAAGATATATCTGAATAAATCATTTTCCATCAAAAAGCTTCTTCCGCTTAAAACATTCTTTGAAAACAAAGGAACACTAATAAACCATATTAATTGTTTTTGATTGCTTTTTCCCCTCTTTACGATGATATAGTAGAGACCTTACTTAAACGACAGACTTCCTTGTCACGTGCAAACTAACAACTGCTTAATAGTCGCGTTATAATGAGTTAACAAGACAACTAGTGACCTTGATATATTGCTATATAAAGCTTTGGAACAGCACTGATTTGTCGAATCAAATAAGTATTTGATAACGAATATATTTGTGTGCCTGCAAAATTCTTGTTCGTTACGATAGAATTTTAAGATATTTAATTAACAATCAATTTTGTGCAAATTTAAGATGTGTCTTTTGAAGTTAACGAGCGCTGGTATAATTTCGTTGTTTGTCTTTAATCTATGTACGCTTTCTCTTGGATTAAAGCCTCGTGACCATGGAAGACTCGGTATGTGTGGCATGCAACAAGCAATCTACCCGGGCAATTTGATGCAATGCAATGTCAATAACGGACAATTTCTTGACTATCGTGACATCAGAAACTGGTCTGGAAAGGAGAATAGTAAAAAGTATTCAGTACGAATTTACTGCGCTGGTGGTACAGTTTATTTGCCTTGGCCCTTTAAAGCCAGGAATGTCGTTAGTCTAGAAATATATAACTGCAAAGTTCTTGGATTTCTGTCGGAGATGACAAATGAGTTGAATATTGCCGACGAACTTAAAACTCTGATATTGTCTGACGTGTCTGTGGAAATCCCCCTTCGTAAGATGCTTCAGCTTGGGGACCGAATGAATAAAGTTTCTAGAAGCGCCGACTGTGGTCAATTAACTTTAGAGAAATTAGTTTTTAAAGATATACATTACGAATTAAAAATGACCCCAGAAGAGAGGGACGGTGTTAAACAAAACAGTTTCCTGGGAAACATGAAACACAGCCATTCTCAGCAAACACATCCTTGCGTTTATAAAAGTTTGAAATACCTTGACGAAAGTGGAAGCAGGAAGAGCGGACAATATCATTTAAAACTGATTCCGGAATATTCCAAATTTCCATCTCTTGAAGTTTACAATATGTCTCGAAATGAGGTAGGTCACGTGCCAAGCGCGTTCAGAAATCTTCATTCAGGAAAGTTTCCAGCGCTACGGCACATTGACTTCTCTAATAATTTTCTAAGGGCATTTGAGTTTGACCTTCCGACTGACCCTAAAAAGTGCAAACTAGAAATCATAGATCTTCATAACAATCAAATAAGATCCGTATCTCCAGTCATTACACACAAGCTGAAAGATATGGGCAAAATTTTAGTAGACCTGAGGCAAAACCCAATGAAATGTGGCTGCCATCTGGCGATATTCAAGCAGTATTTAGAAAGACTGTATCGCAACACTAGTGATATTGAATATAAGCAGATATTAACAGATATTGCATGTCTTACTGATTCTACTCGTCATGGAAAACGGAAAAATGTCAGCATTCTAAAGGCAACGTTTGATAAAAAATGCAAAAGATGAACACCGTGATGTTTTATTCGGAGTAAAATATCTCCTGATTTTAAATATTGTCGCCAAAATTCACTCTGTAAGGGGAAGCGTGAAAATTCACCCAGATGAGGGTAATTTGAAGTATACGTACTCGTACGTAGAACGCATAACATTGTTGTGAGGCTTGATAAATATACACATATTATATGACTACGCTACTCATACTTAATTTGACAGTCTACAATGTTTTGTTTTTATTGAGCGAAAAGATTTGTTTTTATTGAGGGAAGAGATTTGTTTTTATTGAGCGAAAAGATTTGTTTTTATTGAGCGAAAAGATTTTGTTTTTATTGAGCAAAAAGATTTGTTCTGCATTAAGCAAAATAAATTTATACATTGAGTAGAAAGATTGAGCAGAAATTTGTGTTTTATATTAGACAATAAGATTGTTTTATATTGAGTAGAAATAGTTTTTTAATATTGAATTGAAAGATTTGTTTTATTTTGAACCGAAATATTTGTTATAATTATATTGAATACATTGAGCAAAATGTTTTGTTAATATTGAAAAAAAAATGTTTTATTGAGCAAAAATGTTTGTTTTGAACTTAGCAAAACACAGGATTATAACATATTAAGCAGAATTAATTGTTTAATAATAAGCACAACATGAGAAATATTTTTAAATTTAGAAAAAATATCAGTAAATAATTGTATTATATGAAGCAGAAATGTCAGGAATAATTGTTTTACATTGAGCCAAAATAATATCACGAATAATTGTTTAACATTGAGTAGAATATCGGACATAATTGTTTTATATTGAGCAGAAATATCAAGAATAATTGTTTTATATTGAGCCGAAACATCAGAAATTGTTGTTTTATATTGAGCAGAAATATCAGAAATAATTGTTTTATATTGAACAGATGTATCAGAAATAAATGTTTTATATTGAGCAGAAATATATAGAATAATTGTTTTATATTGAGCAGAAAATTCAAGAATAAAATTGTTTTATATTGAGCAAATATATCAGAAAAAAATGTTTATATTGAGCAAAAATATCAAAAATACTTGTTTTATATTGAGCAGATATATCAGAAATAGTTGTTTTTTATTGAGCAGAAATATCAAGAATAATTGTTTCATGTTGAGCAGAAAAATATTGTTCTATATGTATTGGGCAGAATATAAAGATGTGTTTCTAGTGGAGAAGACATGTATTATGTTAAACAGTTATATTTAGCAAAAAGATATGGTTTCTATAAGAAGAAATATTTGTTTTTTTTTATTTAGCTAAAAAAGATCTAACAAAAGATAACACTAACATGTGAAATTAGCCGTTTCCGTCGATATGAACTGCCTTTTTATATCGAGGAAGAAGTTATGGTCGGTCTGAAGCAACAAACTGTGTCATGGAATGTTTTTTTCTCTCAAATTTAAAGGAACTCCACTGAGGCCCAAAAGCCTACAAACACAAATTTTTATATTTCTTTAACTCAGAACAGCTGGAGCAATAAAAACAGAAAGATATACATGTATAATTATCATGTAAAAGATAGTTAAGAAATTTACTCAGAAATTATTACAAATCGTACTTTTGTGCTATTTTTCGCCCGATTCGAGTGACGCTTTTCCATTTTGGGTAGTTTTCACAATAAGAATAATCAAAAACCGTTCAGTGGAGTCCCTTTAAACAGGCGTAAGAATAGTGTAAGTATGTTTTATAAGTAAAATTTTAACGTAAACTTTACATATGACAAATGCACAATGAAAAACATATGCATGTTTTTTTGAATTTGAGTTACATACAGACCTTTGTTTTCTCTACTCTAATGTTAGTTTAAAATTGCGTAATTAAATGCAGCGAATGTTTACAGTTTTGAATCCATGCATATGTGAATTATGACAAGAAATGGCCACTAGCCGATTTATTTTAACTATGCTCAATACCACACAATGCCAGAGAGAAATATCAGAAATTATAATGCATTAATTAGCTTTTTTTTCTGGCATGTGTTCAAAACCAATTAAAAAGAGGCATTTAGAACCTGTTTTCGCCTCCTTATATTCCATATGCAAATTATTAAAGATTACATTACGATTTATCTTGATAGGCAATTAAGTTCATTAAATGACAAAGGCTGATAGGTTAAAGAGCCCGTTAACTTCCCCATTTAACATTTTCTTTAATCAAATGCTAAAGTTGACGTATATATGTGATATAGCAAATTAAATCTGTCAAATGTAACAACCTTGTTACGACATAATTGACAGAGATAGTCATAAACGATATTATATGTTACAAGGTACACAGTTTTGAAAAAAAACATCAAGAAGCGCCACAATGCGACGAAAACCAGGTTTTCAATCACCAAGTATTGATATGACAGGAATTAGGAATGAAAAATGGCGGTGAAGTAAAACTGATGCTGCTATTTGTACCAACACAGAAAGTTGGTTTCAGTAGTTCAAAATAAAAATATAACAGATACCTAAGTAGCAATACCAGGCTTTATTTTTATGAAAGCTACACACATGCCAAGTTAAGTATCAATACGTCAAAGTGTACTGAAGTTATTGAGTAGAAGCTGATATTGTAAGCAAATGACATTGACTTTGATTCCAGATATATGGGTAGAATCCAAAGCTGCATCTTAATATAAGCCACCCACACAGAAAGGTTGTTGTTAATAGGCCAAAGCAAACTCAAGTTATTGAGCGGAAACTGAATTTCTATTTTTGACAACAATGACATTGACCTTGATCACAGACATCTTGATACCAATCCCAAGCAGCTTCTTGATATAAGCTACCAATTGTCAATAGGTCTAAGTAAACTCAAGTTATTAAGTGGAAACTAAATTTCTAAGTTTTAGCAACAAGTGACATTGGCCTTGATCACAGACACCTTGGTAGCAATCCAAGCTGCCTCTGATAAAAGCTACAATATACCAAGTTTGGTGTCAATAGGCCAAAGCAAACTCAAGTTATTTGAGAAGAAATGAATTTCTTTTTTAAGTAACAGTAACATTGACATTAATTACAGACACCTGGGTGGCAATTTAGCTTAAGCTGCCTCTTGATATAAGCTACCTACACACCAAGTTTGCGGTTCAATAGGCCTAAGCAAAATAAGTTATTAAGCGGAAACCAAAAGTTGACACCCAAAAGCCCGCCGACTTCGGCAATACAATAACCGATGTTCGTTGAAAACCTGGTTTAAAAAACAAATTAAAATGTGAGCAAAATATGCTTGCGATTTTTTTGTATCCAAATTTACAATCGTTAATTAAATAAAAATTACCTTACAATAATAATCCCAATAAATAATAACATAAATGACTTATCTGATTCAAATGTTTTCTATCGTGGGCCCCAAATATTTCCATTTTTACTCATTGAGAAACAGTTGTCATTGTTTGAACCCGAATTAAAATGTTTTTAAACGAAATTAAATTTCCTTGTATCCATACAGGTAAATTTATAATATATTAAATAATACAGCCATTGAATTTTACAGTTGTTAAGTCAAAATTACTGTTAAAACTTCCATTTTAAATTACTGTTTCCAAATTTCCTCAAACCAAATGGCATTATACAATATGTATAAGAATAAAGTTGTAGTCAATCCGTAAGGCCAATTTTAAAAATGTAACTTACAAAATGTATATATTAAATATTTACAAATATATTAATATACATTAATAAATATATGTAGACCAAAAAAAAAGGTCCCATTTTCTTTTTAATATAAACACATTAAAAAGCAAAATGCGCCCCCCCCTCCCCCCTTCCCCCTCCGGAAAATTTTCCGCATTTTTCTTTTACCAAATTTTTGCCCCAAACATCAAGATATATTTTTGAAGTATAAGAATTTTAATTCGGATCAAAAAATTTTTATTTAATTTTAGCAACTTTATCATTTTTTTTGTTGGGGGTTTACGTTTTCCCTTTTTGAAAAACTATATAAAAAATTTTAGTACCGAAAAAATTTTTTAAAAATCAGCAGGGGAAAATTTTGAAAGGAAAAATTAAACAATAATTTTCTGTGTTCCATTTTGTCAATATACTGTATTTTAACAGATATATCATGTATTTCCATAACCCGGGGATCGATTTTTAAAATTTTTTTAAATTAAAATATTTAAACATCTACTGTTAATGTTAAGATTATATAAATTAAACAGATATTGATTTTTAGCTGGTCTAAAGAGAAATCAATGTAATTTATCAGCAAGCTCGTTACCGCCCAATGGGCGTTTTCAATATTCGTAAAATTCAGTCATATGGTTAGGATAAGGAACCAAACGTACAGATTAGAGAAATTTAAAAAAAACAAACTACAATTTGATTTGAGCAGTAGTAACAGGAGGAGTTAACTGAAGAAACTAGGTAGTCTGTAGTTAAACTCCCTTATATTTGAGCTGTACCTGGCCAGAATTTAGTTTCTCTCGTGTAAGTTATCTCGTGCAAAGCTAAAATATTAAACGTGAAACTGTCGGATAGTGATTTGATGAACAAACCGTAAAATAAAGACAGAATAATGATAATAAAATCGTATAGATGTATAAAAACAATGTAATATACATGTATTTGTATCATAGTTTGGGACCTTTCTGTTGAAAAAGTGTCAGAGTTAAATCGTATACATATGTATACATGCACAGTGCGGTAACTGGAGTGCAGGTATCAGTTACCCGCACTCCAGACCATGCCCTTGATTGGCTCATTTTTGCTGGGTTTACATATTCTGACGGCAGAGAAAGAAAAAGCGGCAGAATATCATATTCAGATGCTCGATCATTGGTTACATTTTTCCCGGGGATTAAAATTGTGACAACAGGGAACGTGTTTTTATGTTTGACTAGTAATAGAAAGAGCACCGAAACACGAGGGCTATCTGATTTGTACGAGGGGGCGTAGCCCCGAGTATAAATCAGATTGCCGAGTGTTTTGGTGTTCTTTCTCTTTTGTATTCATAGTCAAACATAAAAACACGTTCCCTGTTGTCACAATTTTAAACCCGGGAAAAAGTAACCAATGATCGAGCATCTGAATATGATATTTCTGTCGCTTTCTCTTTCTCTGCCTCACAATATGTAAACCCCAGCAAAATGAGCCAATCAACGGCATGATCTGGAGTGCGGGTAACTGATACCTGCACTCCAGTTACCGCACTGTGCATGTATATGTATACGATTTAACTCTGACAATTTTTCAACAGAAAGGTCCCCAAACTATGATACAATAATACAAAACACTCGGCAATCTGATTTATACTCGGGGGCTACGCCCCCTCGTACAAATCAGATAGCCTCGTGTTTCGGTGCTCTTTCTATTACATATAACAATTCCACTGTTAGAATGGTCCGCTAAAATATCAATGAAACATTTAGGTAAGAACAGTTTTCAGAAAATGATCAAATACGCATATCAGACATTGACAGCGTGATTTTTGACATATCTATATCAGGAAAATAAATTATCTAATGTTATAGATAATTTTCCCTGTTTAGATAATTAAATAAAAAAAGATCGTGCGTATCTAGGCCTAAATAACTTATCTTATCAACAACATTTTTTGTTTATTCTGCCAGTGCAGTGTGTTTAAAATAATTCAATTTATATACGTGACGTGACAGTTTGTAGATACTTCATTTCGTACATGCCAAACATTATGTACATGTAAGCCGTTGATTCCTTCAGCAAGACATTTAACACTCGTTGCATGGTAAGTGAGTCTGTCCTAAAAATCCGAATATAATAAATTAAATTATAAATGTAACCATTACGAATCAATATAACTTGAGGCAACACAGAGTCTACTTGTAAGCAGTGGCAAGTAAAAGCAAATTTTGCATTTTCATTCTCTCACCAAAATGTTGAAGATCTACTTTATTTGAAAAAATAAAATCACGATTTGAAACGTCACTAAAATTTATTTCAAGGTCATAATAACACATTAATGTCTAGGAATTTTCTCAAGAAAGGTCTGTGTACATACAAATCAATACCCCGGCCAGGCCACAACCCCCCCAAAAATGAATTTACTTGAAGCTTCACGCCAGAAAAATCAGAGATGTACATGTAGATCTATGTCTCTGGAAAAAATCAATGTATATAACTTCTTAACTTACTTGACATTTAGCGAATATTGTAACTGAAATCCACAATGACACCTAGCAGGGACAAAAAAGAGGAAATTTTCCGCTTGAGCTTTTTCCCCTATTATTTTGGCGCCAACAACGATTGGAGATAATGAATGGTCCCGCTCTTATTTATGTTTTGGCGCCATAACGGATGATCCCCATTTTTTTTGGCGACAACAACGATTTGGATATACATGTACATGTGTAATGAATGATCCCCCATTATTTCGGCGCCAACAACGATGTTGACATACGAAATGATCACCTAATATTTTGGCGCCAATAACGATTTTGATATCTATAAGTAATGATCCCCTATTATTATGGTTCCAACAATGATTTGGCCATACGTAATGACCCCCACCCCATTATTTTGGCATCAGCAATCATCTTGGCACCAACCCGTCAACGCAGAGACAGATTAATTGGAGGTTAAAACCCAGAAATGCTAATTGATAATTAACTAATCTAGTTTTTCAAGATCACTGGTAATATTTAGATTATATTCTAATTAGTAATTGATCTTGACCTAATCATTTTTGATTTGAGTTATTTTTCACATAATTATATAATAATCATTCTGGAAAAAAAACGGAGTGTGCAAACGATCTGGCCTCGGGATTATAAAACTTTTTTCTGAGTTCTGACTCAGATCTCCGGATTTTCATTGGTCAGTGTACATTTTGTGGCATTTTCTGACCAACCAAATACCTAAGATTTGAGTTTGAGCTTAGATAATTTCTTTATAACCTTGGACCCTGGACCTGCATCAACTTGCAGTCCCGTCATGTCAAAAAACCTCAAAACCTCAATCGAGTCTCTTTAAATCAAATACAAAACTCATAATAACTGCATGAAAATATACAAGTTCTACGGTTACAGTAGTCTAGAATTTAAAAGAAAATGCTGTTTTCTCAAATCAGGAATCATTTCCAAAAATAATTTTAACTACTTTCGTTTATAAATCACTTGTAGTGATCTTTGAGAAACTTTATAGAAAACAAAATGATATTAAACTTACGATAATTGGCTCTTAAAAGTTAAATATGATAATAAAATATTAGTTATAATCCTAATTGTAATAATTAAACGTTCTTCATTTTAAATTCCACGTAAATTATGCCGATATAAATATCTGAGTATAATCTCCGCATTATTATAAATGAACAGCGTCAAGGGAAGAAGCATGGACGCTTTACATTTTATTGTAAGTTATTTTATAATATTATTTTACATGTGATATATCTTAGAATATTTCTTGTAAATGAATTTTGCAAACAAAGTTTCAATTTAAGGATATATCTCTATCTAGAGTACATTAACACTTATTCAACTGCTATTAAATTACACTATTGGTAAAAAGTTTCAGGAATTTGGAATTGTATATTAACGATAATATCCAAAAAATACCCCCTATATATACTATAAATAAATACGTGACACTTTATTTATAGTATATACATGTAAAGGAGTATTTTTTTTTTATATTACCGTTAAACGTTAAGTCAAGTTCCCGTGACTCATGGTTAACTTACACGTGCAAAGGTGTTTTTATAGATAAGAAATATGAGTGTAGGAAAAAAGTCCCCCCCCCCTCCCCTGGACAAAAGCCATACTGTCCAAAAATGACAATGAGGACAAAAGTAAAAGTGCTCCCATAAAAGTGACAGGGAGGCAAAAGACCTGACAGGGAGGCAAAAGCCCGCCTGTGAAAATAACAGGGGGGGGGGGGGGGGAGCAAAGCCCTCCACAGCAAATACATATATGTAACTATGTTTGATGAAAACCTTGTTTTTCTTTTCAATGCACTCACTGGTTTGGGGCGCAAATGTCCATAGATTCTATACCTAATTTACATTTTATTTTCTATCTTAAACTCCATCTTCTATTTTAAAATTATCTTAAGACTATTATTTACTGCTTTATTTATCATGTTCATTTTGCTTAAACTACCCCCCCCCCCATTGCAATTTTCAGAAAATGTCCTATTATCAATATGAGGATGGTATGACTTTTATACATAGATGTGAATTAAATTGGCCATGATGATCTAAACATTTTTGAAAAATGAAAACTTACTGAGATGATAAACTTAAAATCTTGTCAGTGATCTTATAATGAAAATAGTATCATTGCATATGTAATATAATAGATCTACTTCAGTTTATCATTGTGCATAAGCATGTCTACTTCCTCTTATGCAAAAAAGTACAAGTATATAATAAAAAGGTACAGTGATAAGACATACATGTAGTTAAAGTGATACGTAATAGTTATAGTATATGAAACGAGTTAGTTACGAGGGTATAACACTGGCTGGGGCGACATCTCGGGATGCTTTTGCTAAAAAAATGTCGAGACCGTTAGGCCGAGACGATTTTTTTGCAGAAATATCCCGAGATGTCACCCCAGCCAGTGTTATTACCCCGTAACTAACGAGTTTTCATATACTATTACTGTTTTATCGCAATGGCATGTTTTCTTTTTTGTATAGAAACAAATAAATAAATTAATCGTTAGCTACATTACAGTTATTTATCATAAGGCAGTTTTTCAAGTTGTTTTTCGCTGCCGCAAAAAAAAATATACAAAAGACATCCAATATAAGAGGCGGATTGTATACTGTTACCCAAGATTGATTTAAGATTAAAGGGCTTTTTTCATTTCATTAATTATCTTTGTTTATATTTTTTCATTGTATTTATATATTTATTTTATTTTATTTTATTGATTTCATTTTTTATTATCTTATGGGTTTTTTTTTTTTGCTACTGGGAATGGTCGTTACCACTGCCCCATTGGAGCCTCTATGAAAAAACTGTATTGATATATACAAGGTGCGAAAAAAACTAGACCGATATATAAGTTTTTTTTCCTATATGAATCAATGAAAAAACTGTACTGTTATATATCAATACAGTTTTGAAATGCTCATTGAAGTGTACTGAGTATAATGGGTTGGAAAGAACAAAGGAAAAGCTCACAGCCATGCGATAAATGTATGTTTAAGAGCTTGCATATCAATTTCAAGACAGGGTACACAATGAAAGGTACAGGTTTGCAAGACAATGTACGTAACATGATTTCATTTATATAATTATAGTGTGAGGACATGATAGTATCTTATAAAGTTTGTATATTTTGAATAAATTTAGTAACATAATATATAAAAGCCAGATGTATTTTAGTTAACATAGAGAAAAATCTCATTTTTCAGATTATTAAGTTAAACAAAGTGATTATATTACTGAAGGAGAACAATTCATTCAACTAGACATCATGGGTATGTAAAATGTTTTTGTTTCTGTAGTGTTTTATACTGACATGTATACATAAAGTAATCTGGTTTAGCCTCGGTCTCACTAACTCCCGGCAGAGCCTAGGACCATCCCGGTAAGTTACCGGGATGATCCGGGACGATCCGGGGTGAAATAATTGTTGCGGTCACACTCATCCCGGCAGCACTACGGTAGTTCCCAACTTACCACCCAGGATGTGCTCCGGATCATCCAGGCAGAGCCCAGGTGAAGCTACGGTTCATGCCGGTGCTTCACCGGTTGTTCCCGGATGATGCCGGAAGAGCCCCGGTTGACCCAGGCAGAGCCCCGGTCGATCCAGGCAGAGCCCCGGCAGAGCCCAGGAAGATCCAGGCAGAGCCCCGGCAGAACCCCGGGTAACATTGATACATTATTTTTATTTAATATAATATCTATTGTTCCAGAATAGTAATTCATGATGATTTTCTGAAAAATTCATATGCCATACTGGATAGAAGGGAAATGGGAAGGGTTTTAGAGCAAACAAGTGCAATTATCGCAAATTGTCGTTATTCTTTTGAAATGATCCGGGCTTTGCCGGGGCTCTACCGGGATCAACCATAGCTCTACCTTTATCCTCCGGGGCTCTGCCTGTAGTTACAGGGGCGCTGCCGGCATATACCGGGGCTCTACCGTAGCTCTACCGGCTATATCATACCCCGGATCATCCCCAGTTTGTGCCTGCAGAGCTACGGTGCTTCCTCGGTATAACCCCGGTCTTTCCCGGCAGAGCTAAGGATGAAGCCGGCAAAGCTGTACCTTCCCGGATCATCCCGGACCACCCTGGTAATATTAAATATTTTATTCCATCCGGGGTCGAATGCCAGATGTTCCCGGATCATCCCGGATGTTGCTGGCAGAGTTACGGATGTTCCCAGGTTGTTCCCGGTCATACCCCGATCGTTCCCGGATCACCCCAGACGTCTACCGGGGCTCTGCCTGGGCTCTGCCGGGATGTAAGTGAGACTGTAGCTTTACCTTGTCTTTTTAAAAATTATTGAGTTACAGATAGTCATATGGGATATACATGTATATACATGTATTATACAATGAAGATTTCCTGCTCTGATCACTTTCTTTCTTTCATTTATATTAAATCATTGGCAGTGACATTTAAGTGGCCTTATATAAAATTATAAAATAATAAATATGTTTGTCACAAGATATGTATAATAATAAAAAATTGTGACTGAGGAAAAAGAAGTTAGAAATAGCTCCTGCTATGACTATGTAAAAGTGATGATGTCACAATAAAGTTAAAAATAAGTTCAATATATAAAGTCAATAAGCACAAAGAAAACTCTACGGCAATTGTGGTGTGGTGGTTAGCATACAGGACCGACAATCCAAAGACTTGTGCCCTTGATTCTAGTTCCGGCTGCAGCGTGCCAATTTTGTGTGTGATTTTTCAGTGTCTCAATATATATACATAATTGATGTAGTCCCCTATAAATACATGATAATGTGTTGAAGTAATTCACATTGAGGCATAAGGAAGGTCAGAGGGGGCGGGGACATAACTTAAGTCTATCTCGGCCTAGCCAGAGCCCTTATAGTTATACATGTACTTACTAAGTGTTTACTGTGCAATTTGTTTATTTAATCATTTAATTAATTTGATAATTATATTATTCTAAAATGAAATTCGAAACATACAAGAATAGGAGTTCCATTACAATTGCTCTGGGCAGATAGGGTAAGGAAATGTAATGATGTCAAGATTGTTTTTGAAGCTGAAATATATGTTGCATGATGCATATATTGTAAATATATTTATATAATGTCATATCTGAGTAGGTAATTTTATCCATAATTGATTGAACTATCTATTGCAATGTAAAATTAAATACAAATTTTTTTTATTTACATAATCTGTTTTGGTGTATTCACACATTGATTTCTTAAAACTGCAGAAATTTATTGAACAACTATAGACCAGGTACATGTATGTATACCTTGAAATCAATATACCCATACTGTATAACATATGATCGTGGTTTTCGAAAAATTGAAGTGACAGTTTGCCAAAAAATATTGCTCTATATAGATTAAAGAAAGATAAAAATGTAAATTGTTAATAAATAAATGGGAAGGTTTATGATTTAATGTACAATATAATGTTCTTAACAGTCCATTGTTCAGCAAATCATATGTCATTGGGTAAAATTTATACATATACCTGCAATAAACTTCAACAAAGTTATAATAGACCTGTGTAGATAAAAAAAAAAAATAAAAAATAAAAATGAAAGTAAATTTATTCATGTGATCATGAACCGCTTTCTGAATGCCTGAAATAAAAACTTTTAACCTATAGCTCTTCAGCGCTTCTTATGTAAAATTCTTCCAAGTATAATTTCCAATAACCGTAAATTATACCATACCCAGACTATGGTATAATTTTCAGTTTTGAAGATCGAAGGAGTAAGTGTTTCTGGGCGGAGCTATAGGTTAAAAACAGATACACCATTGGTGCGTTGACGATAATCTGGGTTTGCGTAAATTATACCATAATCACGTGACCTTTCTTATGCAACCTCACTCGACTTCGTCTTGTGAGGTTAAGGCATAAGAAAGGTCACGTGATTATGGTATAATTTACGCAAACCCAGAAATCGTCAACGCAGCAATGGTATATCTATTACGTACACTTTTTGGTAAATATTTAGTTCATATGGAAATAAGAAAATATATGAAATCGGGGTGGGCATGGGAGGGGTGTCCCCTTCCATAGACTGAGAAATTTTGAAATGTGAGGTTGAAAATGGTGTTATTTCCTTGACTTTCTAGTGCTGTTTATGGTACCTTTTGGATGGTTTAACATCACATTGTATTTTGTATAGGTTAGTGTTTGCAGAGTTTTTTTAAAAATAGAATTGCCCTCAGGTTGCAGCCCTGAAGCCCGGGCCTGAATCCGCCACTGTACGGTTTGTGAGTTTACTGAACTCTGCAAAAAGTCCAGTGACTAAGTAAAGCTTTGTGTGGTTTCATTGTGGTTTCAGTTTTTTGTTTTTTTTCTGGTCCTTCAGGATCATTGATGCCAGCACTATTGAGTGTTGAGAATTGAGTACCGCTCATAAGGTGCAAGTGGGTGTGAGGGATGTTGCACATATTCATTATCCCTAATGTACAGGCACAATCAAACCGAGTCTGCAATTCTCTTGTAATTTAGGTGTTACTTTTGACGGCAGTGTCGGCGTTGGTGTCGGCGTCAACATCAGCATCCCCTTAAGCTTGTCCAGAGCATAAGTCAGTCATTATAAGTCGGATTGACTTCAAACTTGGTATGCATGCTTCTCATAATGACCTGAAGTGCAGTGCACAAGAACCGGTACTCTGCATTTCTTATTTTTTGAGTTATTGCCCTTTGTTAATTTTCATACTTTATTTTTGTGCAGGCCATTTCTCCTAATGTATAAAAGCTATAGACTTGAAACTAAATAGGATGATAGATCTCATTAAGAAGAAGTGCAGTGCACAAGAACCGGTACTCTGCATTTCTTATTTTTTGAGTTATTGCCCTTTGTTAATTTTCATACTTTATTTTTGTCCAGGCCATTTGTCGTAAAGTATAAAAGCTATGGACTTGAAACTTCCTAGGATGATAGATCTCATTAAGAAAAAGTGCAGTGCACAAGAACCGGAACTCTGCATTTCTTATTTTTTTGAGGTATTGCCCTTTGTTAATTTTCATACTTTATTTTTGTCCAGGCCATTTCTCCCTAAGTATAAAAGCTATGGATGAAACTTCATAAAATGATAGATCTCATTGAGAAGAAGTGCAGTGCACAAAAAAACGGTACTCTGCAATTTTCATTTTTTGAGTTATTGCCCTTTGTTAATTTCATATTTCATTTTTGTCCTGGCCATTTCTCCTAAACTATATTGTTCACAATGCGATACATCCAACTTGCGGAGTTCTAGTTGTGATTTATGCTTTCAAGGGATCACTTTGTTGCCAGATTTTTATACTTCACAACAGCAGGTTTCAAGTGCTGTGTGGCAGCTGGAAGAAGTTGCCCTGTACTTCACTTCAGTGTTGTTATATTTTTCTGATCCTTCTGGATCATTGATGCCAGCACTATTGAGTGTTGGGAATTGAGTACCTCTCAATCGGTGCTAGGGGGTGTGAGGGATGTTGCACGTATTCATTATCCCTCATGTACAGACTCAATCAAATTGAGTCTGCAATTCTCTTGTAATTTAGTTGTGATTTATGCTTCCGAGGGATCACTTTGTTTCCAGATTTCAATATACATGTATGTTGGTCACTAGATTGACTAGAAGTGGACGTTTTGGGGAGAAATTGTAAATTACTATTATTAATTTATATAGTTCATTATTTATGTAAAAGTGTCAAAGTTCAACAGTTAGTATCAGCAGAATTGCGTGCCAATATTTGTGTGCATTATTTGGCAGATAGTGATCCACTTTCATGAAGGTTACTTTTCCATTCCCTCTAGTAAAATGTCATTTACTTTGTTTCGAGATGAAGTGAGCAAATAGACTATAACAATTGATAAATGATGATCATAAATTTGTAAAATCATTTGTTAAAGAAGGTCCTGTTTAAATGTATTTTTGTCAATCTATACTAAATTATATTTTAGGTTCAATTTGTATGAATATTTCAGCGTCTGCAAGTGGTGGCAGTGCCAAGAAGAAAAAGAACATCCGATATTCGGAGATGAAACAGCCACCATTGATCAAACAGCTGAAAGGAATTTTATCTGAATACCCAGATGGTGGTCAAATACTGAAGGTATATTAAATATATTTAATTAAATATTCATATAGCCAAAATTTGATACCAAACTTAAGCCACATATATAATAATTCCACTGCAACTGTAGTGGGTGTCATACACTATTTTCAATCCTCTTTAAGTAAGGTTGTATGTAGATATCTATCTATGAACCCTTTTCAGATGGGTAACCATAACTTGATAATGAATTTATATCAGCATCTACTATGAGTTGGTTGATCATTACTAAAATGAGCCATTTTAGTAAGCATTGTGTCCATGTTTGAAATTACCCATTGTATTCATACCCCCCGGAAACGAAGTTTGGAGGGGGTGTATATAGGAGTCACTCCGTGGTCGGTTGGTTGATCGGTCGGTCGGTCCAGCCGTCCGCTGCATTTCCCTTGTCCGGTGCATAACTTGAAGACTAATGGTTGGAATTCAATACAACTTCATACAATGGTCAAGCATATTGAGAGGAAGTGCAGTGCACAAGAACAATAACTCCATCTTGACTAATTACAGAGTAATTGCCCTTTGTTACTTTTCCTTGTCCAGAACTACTGGTTGGAATTCAAAACAACTTCATACAATGGTCAAGCACAATAAAGGGAAGTGCAGTGCACAAGAACTTTAACTCTATCTAAAGTAATTACAGAGTTATTGCCCTTTGTTACTTTTCCATTGCTTTCTTTTGTCCGGACCATAACTTGAAGACTTATGGTTGGAATTCAATATAACTTCATACAATTTGGTCAAGCAAATTGAGAGGAAGTGCAGTGCACAAGAACCATAACTCAATCTTGACTAATTACAGAGTTATTGCCCTTTGTTACTTTTCCTTGTCCGGAGCATAGCTTGAAAACTACTGTTTGGAATTCATAACAACTTCATACAATGGTCAAGCTCAATAAGGGGAAGTGTATTGCACAAAAACCATAACTCTATCTAAAGTAATTACAGAGTTTTTGCCCTTTGTTACTTTTCCATTGCTTTTTTTGTCTGGAGCATAACTTGAAGATTAATGGTTGGAATTCATTACAACTTCATACAATGATCAAGCACATTGAGAGGAAGTGCAGTGCACAAGAGCCATAACTCCATCTTGACTAATTACAGAGTTATTGCCGTTTGTTACTTTTCCTTGTCCAGAGCATAACTTGAAAACTACTTGTTGGAATTCAATACAACTTCATACAAACATCAAGCACGTTAAGAGGAAGTGCAGTGCACAAGAACAATAACACCATTTTGACAAATTACAGAGTTATTGGCTTTTGATACTTTTCCTTGTACGGAGCATGGCTTGAAAAGTGCTGGTTGGAATTCAAAACAAATTCATACAATGGTCAAGCACAATAAGAGGAAGTGCTGTGCACAAGAACCATAACTCTGTCCAGAATAATTATAGAGTTAATTGCCCTTTGTTACTTTTCTATTGCCTTTTTCTTGTGCAGAGCATGACTTGAAAATTACTAGTTGGAATTAATAATACTTCATACAATGGTCAATAGCAATGGGAGGAAGTGCAGTGTACAATAACCATAACTCCATCTTCAGTATTTGTAGAGTTATTGCCCTTTGTTCTTTTTCATTGTTAGGTGCATCACTTAGAAACTAATGTTTAGAATTCAATGAAACTTCATTCAATGGTCAAGCGCAATGAGAGGAAGTGCAGTGCTCAAGAAGCATAACTCTTTTTAGACTTATTACAGAGTAATTCAATAAAACTTCATCAATGCTCAACCACATTGAAAGAAAATGCAACATACAAGAACTACAACTATCTTTAATGGCCCACAACCATAACTCTATTTTAGTTCTTTTGCTAGGTATTTAGTAACTTCCTCATTTCAGTCTTGCGGGGTTATTAATTACATTAAGTGATAGTTCTAGTTATCTTTGTTTTGTATCTAATATAATATAAGGATAATAATTTGAAATTGATTTCTTACTTTCTGCTATTTTATTTAATTACATGTAATATCAGATAGGTATTTTTTTTCGATAGGGTTTTACGTCACATTGACTTAGTATAGGTCATATTTTGACGTTCCAGCTTTACTGGTGGAGGAAGACCTCATGCCCTTCCATGCATTATTTCAGGCACGAACAGGCACCTGAGTAGAACCAACGACGTTCCATAATCAGATAGGTATATCAGACAGGTATATCAGGTAATGTAGAGAGTATAAAGTTTAAATTTATTTTTCAGGAGTTGATACAAAATGCAGAGGACGCTGGTGCCAGAGAAGTTAGAATTCTTCATGATAAAAGGAGAATAAACCAAAATACCAGCAGTCAATGTGAGACCACTCCAATTGATACAAAATTCTTTAAGGTAAGAATTTTGGCTTCTCACCCTTTCCCCAAGTTATGAAACTAGCATAAAATTGTGCATTTATTGAATCACTATATTTTTTTATATTGATTAATATAGGAAAACATGTTTAGATTTACTTGTGTAAAACTATAATGTCCAGAGCTTAGATATTAGACATATAGCATTGCTTTCCTAGTGGACCTCTATAAAATAAAACATAATTACAGTGTATGCCCCTGGGGTTGAAATTGGCCAAACCCCTTAATTCACTTAGTTTACAACTTTACATAGTATATTGTATATTGAATTCTTAAAATGTTCTCTCCCAGCCATAGATATATGTCATATGGTCCTCTTGTGGGATTGGGGTCTTTTAGTTATACCCCGCACATCAAAGTTTTACGGGGATATACTGGAATCAGCTTGTCATTCCAGCTGTCTGTGACTTTTTAGCTTACCTGAGCTTGCCCTTTTAGGTTTTTAGGATCGTTGAATTTCAGTCTTTCGTCCGTCATTTGTTTATAAACACTATAGCGGTTACATTTTTGCCTCAATCATCATCAATCTTTGTCAGGATGCTTTTCTAGGTAATAGCTCGAATGAATTGAATATGGATCATTTTGGATGAAAAACTAGGTCACAGGAGCTAAAAAAAGAAAAATCTTGTGGTCACCTTTTTTGGACTCAATCATCATCAAACTTTGTCAGGATGCTTGTTTACTTAATTGCTCGGCTGAGTTCGAACAATGGGTAAATTCTCGGATGAAAAACTGTGACAGGAGCTAAAAATAGAAAATCTCTTTCACAATCCAGTGGCTACTATTTTGATCCAAATATCCTTGAAATTGGTCCGAAAGTTTGTTTCTAGGTCATGTTTGAATATGGGTCACCCAGGGGGTCATTGTTTTTCCCTTTATGTATATAGTTAAAACTTAAAAGAATCTTCTTTTATAAACCCCAAAGAGCTAGAGCTAAGATATTAAGCATGAAACATCTTCTAATGGGTGCCTACCAAGCTTGTTCAAATAAGGGCCCTTGGGTTAAAGTTGGCCCTGCCCCAGGGGTCATTGATTTTCCTTATATGTGTATAGTAAAACTTAAAAAATCTTCTTATAAAAAACCCAAAGAGCTAGAGTTTAGATACTAAGCATGAAATATCTTCTAGTGAGTGTCTACCAAGTTTGTACAAATTAAAGCCCTGGGGTCAAAATTGGCCCCTCCCAGTGGGGGTCATTGTTTTTCCCTCCATGTATATAGTAAAAACTTAAAAAATCTACTTATAAAACCCCAAAAAAGCTAGAGCTTAGATATTTATCATGAAACGTGAGTGATTTCAGGGCCATCATGGCCCTCTTGTTAAATAGATTAGGTGGCCGTGGGGATATGAATCACCTTCAGTGATAGATTTACTTACTTTCAGTTGTTTCAGTTAAATCTCCTGATGACAGTTGTTATTCTGATATGTATGACACAAAAGCACTTTATAAGCTTAATCATTCATGATTTACAATGTCAATCATATCATGTAATCATTTATATCCAATGTAATGAGTTGCACATGAACTTCTATGTATTTTTTACTTTATAGGGCCCAGCACTTTGTGTGTACAATGATGCAGTGTTCTCAGAGAATGACTGGGAAGGTATACAAATGATATATAGCAGTAACAAAGAAGAAGACCCACTGAAAGTGGGACGGTTTGGTCTGGGATTCAAATCTGTCTTTCACATAACAGGTAAAACTTACAAATGTCCCTGTATAATATAGCAATACTTTTTAACCACGTTTTCAACCTAAACTTGTTATTGTAATGCTGAATTTGACGGGCAGGCATCGCTTAATAAATGTAGTTTGCTTAGGCTTATTGACACTGACCTTGGTGTGTAGGTAGCTTATATCAAGTCTCAGACAGCTTGGTATTGCTATTGCTACAGCTGTTTCTAAAAATAGAAATTCAATTCCATGAAATCACTTCAGTTTGCGTTGATCTATTGACACCAAACATGGTGTGTGGGTAGCTTATATCAAGACGCTTTTTAAAAATGCTAACCAATGTGTGTGTGATCAAGGTCAGCATCACTGTTACTAAGAATAGAAATCTTAAGTTTCCTGTCAATAACTTGAGTTTGCTTAAGCCTATTGACACCAAACTTGGTGTGTTGGTAGCAAGTATAATTATCAAGAGGCAACTTGGGATTGCTACCCAGGTGTCTATGATCAAGATCAAGGTCACTGTTAATAAAACATAGATATTCAGTTTCAGCTCAATAACTTGTTTGCTATGGCCTATTGACACCAAACTTGGCATATGGTTAGCTTATATCAAAACACTACTGTGGATAACTACCCAAGTGACTATGATTAAGGTCCAAGTCACTTCATTGTTAAACATAGAAATACAGTTTCTGTTCAATAACTTGAGTTAGTTGTGACCTATTGACAGCAAATTTGGTGTGTGGGTAGCTTATATCAGGACGCAACTTTGGATTGCTATCCAGATGTCTGTGATCAAGGTCAATGTTGTTAAAAAATAGAAATTAAGTCTCAGCATAATAACTTGAGTTTGCATAGACCTATTGACACTAAATTGAGTATGTGGGTAGCTTATATAAAGATGCACTTGGGATTGCTACCCAGGTTCTGTAAACAAATTCAAGGTCACTGTTTCTTAAAGAAGAAATTCAGTTTTCATGCAATATCTTAGAGTTTGCTTTGACCTTCTGACACCATACAGTTGAGTTCACACTAAAGGTTACACAAAGTGCACTAGGAGTGCACTAGATGTGCACTACTAGTGCACTTCAAAGTGCACAAGTAGTGCACTACTAGTGCACTTCATTAGTGCACTTTGTAGTGCACCAGACCTATTATATGTATTAAGTAGTTACCTTTTATTTCAATGAATAGCAATTTGACTTTTACAAAAAGAAAGATAAATATAGATATCTGTATAATAGTTTTATCATAACAATTTTGAAGTTGTGAATATTGGATTTTGTATAATATGGCGTAAAATATTAGAACAATAATTTTTCAAAGTCATTAATTTTACTGATTTTGTACTTTAAAACTTAATTGTTAGAATAAGTATACATATATAAATAATTAAAAGTTTAATGTTGATAAGTGCATAAATAAACAAAATTAATTGATAGTTAATATGATTCTATTAACCAATAACCAATTAGTTATTTTTGATCTTAACTTATGGTTGTTTTAGTTAAAGGTAATGATTTTAAGCATTCATAGCCTTTAATACCTTAAAGAATTAATATGTTTATAATTGGCCTAAATTTTGTCAATTTTATCTCATTTATAATCTCTCTAACCTTCTCAAACTGAGATTTACCTAAGATTAATATAAATGATATATATTATTCTGAAAATAAATATTTATATATAATGGTGGTATATATGAAATGTGGATAAAGTATTGATATGTGTGGATTAAGTATTGATATGTACCTGTGGGACACATAAGTATACTTTAACTGACATGGATATTAACAAAAATATTATAAAATCTTTCAATTCCATTTTTAGCTCACCTGTCACAAAGTGACAGGGTGAGCTTTTGTGATCGCTTTTCGTCCGGCGTCCGTCCGTCGTCCGTTCGTAAACTTTTGCTTTAAATGACATCTCCTCATAAACCACTGAGCCAATTTCATCCAAACTTCACAGGAATGTTCCTTTGGTGGTTACCTTTAAAAATTGTTCAAAGAATTTAATTCCATGCAGAACTCTGGTTGCCATGGCAACCGAAAGAAAAATCTTTAAATATCTTCTTTTAAACAACCCTAAGAGCTAGAGCTTAGATAATTGGCATGAAACATCTTCTAGTGAGTGTCTACCAAGTTTGTTTTCAAATAAAAGCCCTGGGGTCAAAATTGGCCCCGCCCCAGGGGGTCATTGATTTTCCCTATATGCATATTTAGTAAAAAACTTAAAAAATCTTCTTTTAAAGAACCCAAAGAGCTAGAGCTAAGATATTTGGCATGAAACATCTTCTAGTGAGTTGTCTACCAAGTTTGTTCAAATAAAAGCCCTGGGGGTCAAAATTTGCCCCGCCCCGGGGGGGTCATTGATTTTCCCTATATGCATAATAGTAAAAACTTAAAAAAATCTTCTTTTTAAAGAACCGTAAAAGGCAAGAGCTTAGATATTTGGCATGAAACATCTTCTAGTGAGTGTCTACCAAGTTTGTTCAAATAAAAGCCCTGGGGTCAAAATTGCCTCCGCCCAGGGGGTCATTGATTTTCCCTATATACATATAGTAAAAAACTTAAAAAAATCTTCTTTTTAAAGAACCCAAAGAGCTAGAGCTAAGATATTAAGCATGAAACATCTTCTAGTGAGTGTCCCTACCAGTTTGTTCAAATTAAAGCCCTGGGGTCAAAATTTGCTCCGCCCTGGGGGGTCATTTGATTTTCCCTATATGCATATAGTAGAAAACTTAAAAAAATCTTCTTTTTAAAAGACCATAAGAGCTAGAGCTTAGATATTTTGGCATGAAATGTCTTCTTCGTAGTGAATGTCTACCAAGTTTGTTCAAATAAAAGCCCTGGGGTCAAAATTGACCCCGCCCCAGGGGGTCATAGATTTTCCCTATATGCATATAGTAAAAACTTAAAAAAATCTTCTTTTAAAGAACCCAAAGAGCTAGAGCTAAGATATTTAGCATGAAACATCTTCTAATGAGTGTCTACCAAGTTTGTTCAAATAAAAGCCCTGGGTCAAAATTGGCCCCGCCCCGGGGGGTCATTGATTTTCCCTATATGCATATAGTAAAAAACTCAAAAAATCTTCTTTTAAAGAACTCAAAGAGCTATAGCTAAGATATTTTAGCATGAAACATGTTCTAATGGGTGTCTACCAAGTATGTTCAAATAAAAGCCCTGGGGTCAAAACTGGCCCCGCCCGAGGGGGGGGGGTCATTGATTTTCCTTATATGTGTATAGCAAAACTTAAAAAAACCTTCTTTGAAAAAAACCCAAATAGCTAGAGTTTAGATATTAAGCATGAAACATCTTTTTAAGTAAATATCTACAAAGTTTGTTCAAAATAAAAGTCCGGGGGTCAAAACTGGCCCTGCCTAGGGGTGTCATTGTTTTTAACTATATGTGTATAGTAAAAACTTCAAAAATCTTCTTTTAAAAAACCCAATGAGCTAGAACTTAGATGTTTAGCATGAAACATCTTCTTATGGGTGTCTACCAAGTCTGTTCAAATAAACAAATAAAAGCCCTTGGGTAATAATTGGACCGGGGCAGGGGGGGGGGGGCTATATACAGGTGAGCGACCTCAGGGCCATCATGGCCCTCTTGATCATGGCCCTCTTGTTTGAGACAACACTAATTTTTTTCTTTTTTTATGCATTGTAACATAATTATGCAATATGATTATATTTATGAGTTTATTATAAAATGCAAAAATATATCAGTTTTCCTTTCTTGTAATGAAATGTATTTGCACCAATATCCAGAGAATACAGAATTTACATTGCCTACTTCTATTTATCATCTGCCTTTTGTTGTTTACCCTTAGGACTCTCTTATCAGCAGGATACTAAAATACCAATACACAGCATGACTTTTGACACTTTAATCTTCTGTAACTGTTTTCTGCTCATGTATGATATTTTATTAAAAAATAAAAAAACACAAAAAAACAAAAAAAAACAAAACAAAAACAGATCTACATTAAAGTGAAAAGGAAGTTGCAAACGCTTTATAATCATGTATTTACATATTTTCTTTAAAATATCTTATCTTCTAAATGTGTTAAAACTGACAAGGCAAATTTGTCAAATCTATAATAGAAAAAATTAACATTTCCCAGTTCAGTCCAAACCAAAAGATGCTGCAAATTTTAATGCAGAATTGCAAGAAATGTGGATAAATATTGAGGTGACTTTCTAGAATAGTTAACACTGATATTGATTTTAAACCAGTTTTTTATGATAAGATAAGAAAATTCCACTTCAAAGACAATAATGACAATAATATAATATCTAACATGCGTTTATGCCATTATGATTATTTTTTACATTTGATTATACAAAAATTATAGTCATTTATCTATGTCTTACATGTATTTTGCAGTAAAAAAACAGGAAATTTTAAATAAATATTGCATACATCTGCATTTTTGTTAACTTATTTACCCTGAGACCCTCTTATCAGCAGTGTAATGAAAGAGAAATACCAATACACAGCATGGTTTGAGACTTTCCTCTTGTGTAAAAGCATTCCCTTTATACATTAAATTTTTAATATAGAAATCTTGAATAAATTTTATTTATTTCATGGAAAAATTATAATTATTTATATCTTTAAAAAGTATGCAAGCATTTCATGGTTGAAAAACATAATATCACAGTATATTAGGATTGTTTTAAAATCAATGAATTCTCTTTCAATCTTGAACATGAGGAATTGCCTCTTTAAGTTATATATTATAATGCAGAATGGCAAGAAATGTGGATACATGGATAAATATAGAAAATTCCGCTTTAGAGACAATAATATCTAATTTGCATTTATGCCATTATGATTTCTTTTTGTATATTTGATTATACAAAAATGATGGTCATTCATCTATATGACTAACTTGGCGGACAAAAGCACTCCCGTAAAAATGACTTGGCGGACAAAATCCCTCCCGTGAAAATAATAGGGTAGTTCTAGCTCATACACATACTTAGGCGAATTGAAAACTACAAGAAATATATGTAAC